CTTCATAAATTCATGGTTTGTGATCTTTTTTAAGAAGCCTGTACTGGAAATAAGAAATTTGTCTTACATTCGAAAGTTCTTGGTTGCCTTTAATATGCATACATAGATAATAATGGAGAGAAACTTGAACCAAAATCAATGATGTGTTACTTTATTGCATATGACTTTTAACTACAAATATTGGGATAACAAAAACAAGAAAATAATCAAAATTAGGAGTGCTATTTTTAATGAAATTGAGATGTGAAAAGATAGGTAAGCGGGATTAAAAAAGAAACCTCCAATACATAACAAATTGAATTAAAAGAGCCAATTAAATTTGATAAGAGAATGGAGATGCCAATAAATGATCAAAATCATTCTCAACCAATAACTCCGTGTAACAGAAGTTAAAAGATAATAACAAAGAACTCTAAAGCTTCTTAATTATTATTCTCTTTCTCGATATTATTAAACCTAGAGACTATCAAGCAACAATAAAAGTTAAAGATTAATCTAAGCAAGGGCTAGTAATAAAAAAAGAAGGATTATATCTACAAAATAATATATGACTAGAGTACCAAAAAAACTTATACAATTAAGAAAAACAGTAGAATGACAACAAAAGGTACATTGTGAGGTTATTAGTAATAGAAGAAAGATATTAACGTCACTGAAATTTCTCTCCTATGTTTAAACAAACAACTGTACAACAAGTTTTGAGTATTATAATTGCAGAAAACTTACATCTACGGCAAATAAAGGTTAAGAATGCTTTTCACCATGGAAAACCAATAAAAAAAAATCTATATGGTTCAACCTAAAGGCTTTGTCGCACAAGGATAATAAAATTAAGTCTTGATTTTAACAAATGCCTATTATCATTTAAAGCAAACTCCACGATAATGGCTAGGGCTGTGAATTTAGCTCGTAAGATCGTTAATTGCTCGAAAATTTACTTGAATTTTAGCTTGGATTAAAATAAATCAACCGAGATATGAGCCAAAACTTCAGATCAAATTTTTTTCAAGCCAATTTCGAGCCATAGACGGATTGACTCGAGCTAGCTTGAGATTGGCTTAAAGTATTTAAAAAAAAAAAAATTACAAGTAATGCTAAATAAAATCGAATATATGGTTACGAGCCGATTTTGAGCTTAAACGGGTCCAAACAACTCAATTCAAGACATCTTGTTTCGATTTTGAGCCGGATCGAGCCGATTTCGAGTTGGAACTGATCAAAATAACCCAAAATTGAGTTAGCTCGTTTCGATTTAGAGCTGCATTGAGCTTGATTCAATTTCGAGCTTGAAATCAAACATAACGAGCCACGAGCCGATTTTGATACGAACTCGATCCAAATGGGTCGATTTTGAGCCGACCTCAGCTTGGGTCGAAATCGGTTAAAAGCCCTAGTAATTGTATTAAAAATTTGTTAAATTTATGCAAAAGATTAATTTTCATATATACAATGGTTTGTTACAAAGGAAAAAATTGTATCATCCTGTTTTGGAATGTTGATAATATCTTAATTGCAAGAGTTAACATTGCAAAAATCAATAATCTTAAATAAAATTGGCAAATGACTTTGACATGAAGGTCCTGAGTGAAGCCAATAAAATTCTTGAAATGAGAATAGATCAAAATAAAGCTGCAAGTATTTTGAACTTATCACAATCTCAATATATTGATGAAGTGTTGTATAGGTTTAATATGATAGAAGCAAAAAATGGTGATGACACTAGTCACAACCCACTTCAATCACAGATGAAAAGAAAGACTATATGGATAATGTCACTTATGCATCAATAATTAGCTATGTACTGCATGCAATAGTTTGCAAAGGATTAGAGATTGCGCATGCAATGTTGACTATTAATCGGTATATGCCAAAACTAAAAAAAACATTTCGAGTTTTTAAATGGATCAACACTTACAGAAGTTGGTTGTTACATTACTGGAAATTATTAGATTATCAACAAGAGAAGCCAAGCATGTAGTTGGCACTAAAACTAGCAAAAAGAAAATTTGGCTAAGAAGTACTTTTAAAGAACTGAACTGATCACAATATATCTTACTATGTAGTGACAATCAACATATCATTTATTTGATAAAAAAATTTTCCCACTATTTCCAGACAAAACATATACAACTCAAGTACCACTTCAAATGCAAACTACTTGATAATGATGTTTTAAATCTATCCAAATCAAAAGAGCAGAAAATCTAAGTGATTTGCTCACAAAAGTGGCCCCCATTAAAAAGTTAAGGCTTTGTAAAACCTCAATGAACCTTCATAAATGGTGATATGAAGGTGTTGCATGGAGAGATTTTCAGACATCAACCAGTAAAAATTTATTTAAAAAATTTTATCTTCAAGTGGGAGATTGTTAAAATAGAAAGATATGATTAGTATTATCTAACTCATTCAATATTTTTACCCACCACCTTCTATCTAATTCCTATAAATTAATCTCCTACCATCATTTACCTAATATTTATATTATGATACCTACGGCAATCACCTAATAAATTGAACTTGCTATCTATCACCTCCAAGCGAGATATAAGAAGATGACTTCAACATTTTGGTGCATCCCACACATAAAAGAAAATATGAAGAAGAGGGAGAAAAGAAGAGGGATCTAAGTTTTCAATCATAGAAAGGAGAGGCTCTTACAATAGAAAAAGTAGAGGTCAAGAAGTGAAGATGATAACATCAACAATGATAAAATTTTCTCACTTTTTACATTTCTCTATCCTTTTCCTCTACTCCTTTTTAATATTTATTAGAATATTGAATCTTTTGCACAGAGATAGACATAGGTAAATATCATCAAATTAGGTAAAATTAAGCTTCTTGAGATTGTGATCTTTATTGTGCTTATTCCACATCTTCATTTAATTTCTTTTGATGTTCTCTTACTATCCTGACATAAAATTTGTGAAGTTCCATCCATAAATCATTCTATATAAAAGACTGAAAAAGTAAAGTAGATTCTGACAACGTCTAAGTAAGAATAAAAGGCTCCACCAGTGTACTAATCTCTTCCAAACCATTTAATTGACTATACTAGAAAGAAAATGATTTAGCTCATGAACTTGCAAGTTTTCTTAACTACTTATGATAAATTTAATTGATGTTGTCAACCCTTCCAGTTAAATACTAATAATGCACATAGTCAGTTGAAGAAACTTGTAAAGTTCTACCATTAATCAATTAAATTTTAGATGTTCATAACAGAACATACATGATAGTGCCAATACTATTTCCTGAAGTAAGCTACTGTTACTAAAAACAAATTGTGTGCCTAAACTATCCAATAAATAATGAGGGACAATTTAGACAATAATCATGAAATGAAATGATAAATAAAAGATAAAAAAATTATAAAAGAGAACCAAACATTCACGTATCTTCACCTAAAAATGGGAGTGAATTCCTAAAACTTCTATCATCTACGAATCTATTGTACATTGAAAATGTCTAGCCATCTATCAAACAAGTTGGATCATCAACAAATCATTTTTAAGATAGAGTTTCATAATCAGGTCATTTCTGATTTGCTAAACTATAATCAGATTCAAAATTGACCTGAACCTTTAATTCATTTTCTAATATTCTCTGTGCTTCACCACTATGGAACTTAAAAATGAAACATTGTTTTTTAATTTCACTTTTAGGATTTACATGCATGATTTCAGTGAAGCAGCAAAGAAATTGATCATAGTCCAATCCAAATTTATAGTGTAGAGCTGATGCACACTGTATGATAAGCCAATGATATCAGTTCTAATAATGAATAAATGAGCTAACTAAAAGTGAAGATGAGAAAAAAAAAACTCGAATTAAATAGAACTAATCCCCTAAAATAATATCAATGAGTGATGATGTTTAAAATTGCATAGTAAATACCTTTTAATGCAGCAGTAAAACTGTGAACAACAACCCTTATTTAGGTAGGGGCCTTCTACACTGACTAGTACCACCCACCCCACCCCACCCCGCCACTTTCAATAAATTTAAGGAAGAATTACATACATACCACTCAATTCTTGTGTATTTATATATCTAACATCTAAACTTCAGTTTTTTCATACATGTCACCTACCTATACTTGAAAAGTTGTATTTCACATTTTAAAAGCTAAAATGATGATATTTTTTTATAAGATATGAACAAGTAAAGTTTAGGTGTATATAAATATATAGGAATTGAGCGGTAGGTATGTAAATGCACCAAATTTTACATAGCATGGAGATGATAAATAAAATACAAACATTTCAGCGGGCATCATATCCAGCTGAATACTTGCTTAAAAACTGATGAAAGGAATGAAACATATAGGACAATCTAGCCTTGAGATTTGCTAAAGTTTGGCGTGCGATAAATATTATTAATCAGCATTCAAACACTAAATTTTACATAGCATGGAGATGATAAATAAAATACGAATGTTTCAGCGCGCATCATATCCAGCTGAATACTTGCTTAAAAACTAATGAAAGGAATGAAACATATAGGACAATCTAGTCTTGAGATTTGCTAAAGTTTGGCGGGCGATAAATATTATTAATCAGCATTCAAACACAATTAAGTAGGCCAAGATAAAATTCATATTTTATCCTGCTTGTATCACCTGCATAAACAAATGCATGCTGCAAAAAATACAGTTTACTGAAGTACAAAAAATATGTATATAAATATAAATAAATAAATAAATAACTCAAAATATGAATCAGACTCCGTAATAAGCAACTACAAGAACCTTCATGCCCATATAAATCATCCCACCAGCATTTAAAATGCAAAGCAATTAGAAGAACAGGGGCTCTGAATCACAAGCTAAACTTACTGCAGCTCTAATGAATTTATCTCTGCATGAGGCAAGAAGTAAATCCTGGAATAAGTAGAGTGCACAAGATATAAAACTGATAAATTGCAAATGATGATAAAATAGACTTAGATAGAAAAAGGTCCTCACTAAGGTTCAGAATCAACAATTTTTGCCTTCTATCCATCCATAGTAATATTTGCTTTCAAAAAGCAAAAGAAAAATATGGTTAGCTGAATTAAGCATTTCTGTGAATTTAAATGGAGAAAAAAAAAACTATAAAAGCACAAACATTTGATCATAATGGTAATTAAAAATTCTTGTAAAATGCTAAAATGTTCAGGTACAAAACGGCATAATCTCGTACAAGCGTTGTTACACCAACTTATTCATACCAATAAGAGCAGTGTATTTTATAAAGATTATATCTCCAAAAGCTGTGTTCCTATCATCCTATCTCAAATCACCTTCTCACAATAGATTCTTCATTTCTAGCCTAACGTGCCTTCTTTTGCCCCCAAACCACCATTCTACCAGCACAACAACCACACTTTGCCCGGAATATAAGCACAGCTCTTCCATTCAAAGGTGCCATCTTTTTCAATTCAGCCCCAAATTCTCTATTGTAATCTTCACTCAACTCAAAGAAACCTTTATCCCCACCATCTCCGCCTGCAGAATTATGCAAATTTTTCAAGCAATCCTCCGTCTCAATCTTGATGTCGAATTCCGGAGCATTCCTTAGCCCCCGACAGTTTGGATTATCACATTTTTTCCCAACACAACAGCTTAAAAACCAGAGTATGACAGAACAAGCAATCATAAATCCAAATCCATTCACTAAATAAACACCACTACCAATACCCAATTCCTTGTCTACTGTAGCGACCATCAGTTTCCAGATATCAGAGAAGCCATAGGAGAAGAACTTGAGACACGGGAACAACAGGAATCCGCAAGCAAAGAGTACGGCGACCAAGATGGAAATATTGGCGATCGCTGATGTTTTATTAGGGCATGGCGGAGTTTTGATTGGATTCTGAGAATTCAATTGGGCCTTCTTCCTATGGGAACGAGGGTTTTGGGTAACGGCGGCGGGTGCTGAAGCAGCGCGCATGATGGCGATGATGTGAGCGGACGAAAAGTTGGATCTTGTTCTCAATTTACAGATTACTGATCTGATATAGAGGGATTTGAGAATAAATGGAAGGAAAAGAGAATCAAATGAGGGGAATGATATTTTGCTAGGTTTCTACATGTAGACCTACAGTCAGTAGTAGTCTTCTCCCTTCGCAATTGATGGGGGCGTAGTGGTAGTTGAGATATTATTTTTAAATGGCCAACATGCTGTGTGTATATCTTTTTATTATTATTATTATTTTTTAAGAAACATCCATCACGAAAGGAAAACGATGCCCAATAGCTCAAATTTTATAATATCAGAGCACAGAGCATTTACTTGAGGAAATATTTATCTTTAATTTATTTATTTTCAGAAAATATCATGAAAAAAATATTCCCTTGAAAGTCAAGACGTCTGGGACGTCCGGACCGGACGACAACTACCAACAGCCACATCGTCTGCCAATGATGTGTGTGACGACGTGTCGGTTAATGGTTGATTGTCCGGACGTGCTGTGTACGACTCCGGACCGGACGACAACTACCAACAGCCACATCGTTTGTCAATGATGTGTGTGACGACGTGTCAGATGACGTGTCGGTTAATGGTTGATCGTCCGGACGTGCTGTGTACGATCAGAATATTTTCTCAAATATCTAAATGGTCAAGATAGTATTTCTTTAGCAGGAGCAATTAAATACAAACTAAGTTCCTAAAAAATTAGATACTGATCATCTAAAACTTACTATTTGAAAATCAGTAGTGATCTTTTATCCATTTTTCAAATTCTTACTCCAATATCAACATTCATGATAAAACTTCAACTTATATTTTTTTCCTTTCATCAAATTCTCCTTCCGGTAGTTAAAAAAAACACCTGAGTGCTTAATTTGTTAATGTCAATATTTTATATTATTTGAATACAATTTTTTAATTTTTTTTGGAGAGGAGGGACCCATATTATTCATTTTTATCAAACTTTTAATAATTTGGTCATGACAATGTAAATTATAGGCTTCGTAGCACAAAAAATCTTATAAATATTAATGTGTTGGTGCTTTTTATGTAATTATACCTTTCTTTTTTTTATAGATTTTTAAAAATTTTAATTTATTTTAAATTAGTATTTCAATCGATATGGCACAAATTTGAGCACTAAATTAAGGAGTTTTGACTAACAATTCAATGAGGAATAATTTACTTCTAAACTTGATTTTATAAAGCCTCCAATATAATGTTTCAACCTAACTTTGGATGGTAAAATCTTTTAATGAAAGAACGTTTACGTGAAATATATCACTCGGCATTATTTGATTGATATTTTTAGTTAGATAAATTTAACGTGCTTAAAAAACATGATGAATGAAATCAAAATCATGGCGTGCAGTTGGTGCTGAGTAGCAAAGGCGGTTTATTGAGGGATTTGCTATTCAAGCATTAGAAGCCTCTTCGATAACACTTCTATAATCTAATTGGCAATATTTGTAGTTTGGAAGAATTGCATGCAAACAACTTAATGCTTATGTTTATGTATTTACATATCCTACATATCTAACACCAAAACTTTCATTTTTACATATATGCCAACTTACTATGTAGGAAAATGTGCATTTCACATTTTTAAAAGTAAAATAATGATATTTTTTAATGTGATATGAAAAGATATGAAAATACATTGAAGTTTAGAAATTAGATATGTAAATACATAAAGGATGAGGGCCCGTTTGGGAACTCATTTTTGCAGTTTTTACGTTGCGGAAAAGGAGAAGCACGGTTTGGAAACTCTTTTATTTAGAGTGTTCGTTGGTTGGGGTCCGCAACAAGTCGAACACCAAAGCTGAAGGGGGAGATGGCGTTTTGAGACTCGAGCTCTGTTGCGAGGTTCCTTTGATATCAATGCCCCTTTTGGATTCCAGAAATCTCACTTCCTATCCTCGCATATACCCCTGCCTATGTCCTCCTTTGTCACTCGTATCGATAGGGCTGAAACCCGGTTCCGCTCCTCTCCCTTTGCTCGGGCCCGAAGACTTGCTACAATCTTCTCGTGAAGTTTTGTCCTCTATAGATTTTTTTTTTTGAGGTTGCTGCCTACCTCTGTGTTTCTTATTTTTTCATTGAACTTTTTTGTGTTTTTGATTTGCATATGTATCTATGTTGTTTGATGACCGACTAGCTTGCTCGTTCCCATTCATATGCGTAGATGAACATATTGTGGGGAGAGTAATGAGCACCTATTTGTTTTTTTCTTCTCGTATTGCATATAATTTGAAGCAAAATTAAAGTTTGTAAGATAAATTAGTTAGCAACATCTATAGTAATCATGATCAAGCAGTAGAAGCTACATAATGGAAAATATATAAGCTTATTCATTTGTTTTTTTTAAGATTTATTATTTTAAATATCCTGACTGTGGAGTAACATTTTGAAGTGGCTGGTCGAATTGTTTGCTTATGTCTCCTCCTTAGTGTAAAGTAATCTTTTGGGGGAAGAATGTTGAGCACTACTTCTTTTTTCAGTTAATTTGAGACTTTTCTAAATAGAATTGTATATGTTTTGCTGTACATATGAATCATGCATAATAGATAAATTAGCAGGATCCTTACCTGCTCTGATCAATCAACAGAAACAGTGAGCTGAAATATATATGAGTAATTCTCATATGTTTGTTTCAGATTTCTTTGTTGATTTATTTTGTTTTAGTAGATATATGAGCACTGGTTTTTAATTTTTTTGACAAATTTTGCTGGCTGATTTGCTTGCCCATGCCTCATTCTTAGTGTACATTAACATTTTGGATTAGAGAATATTGAGCACTATTCTCTTTTTTTAGTTTTCTTCTGCTATAATTTTTATAAATAGAATTGAATATGTTTTGTTGCACATTTGAAGTTTGCATGATAGATAAATTAGTAACATCCTTACATGTTCTGAACAATCGGTAGAAGCAATGAGAAGAAATACATATTAGCAATGCTCATTGGTTTATTTCAGTTTTTTGTTGGTTTATTTTCTTTAGATAGGTATATGAACACTAGTTTTAGTTTGTTTAACAGTTTTTGCTAGTCGAGTTGTTTGCACTTGCTTCCTCTTCAGTGTGGAGTAATATTTTTAGGGAGAATGTTGAGCATGATTTTCTTATTTTAGTTTATCTGAAACTTTTATAAATAGAATTATATATTATTTACTACACTTTTGAAGTTTGGATGATAAATAAGTTAGCAACTTCATTGTTTGTTATGATCATCTAATAGATGCAATGAGATAAAATATATATGAAAATTGTTCATCTATTCATTTTGAATTTTTTTGTTGGTTTATTTTCTTTCGATTCATATATGAGCACAGATTTTTCAATTTGTATGACAAATTTTATTAGTTGAATTGTTTATTCTTGCATCCACCTCAGTTTGGAGTAATATTTTTAGGAAAAAATGTTAAACACTGCTTCTTTTTTTAGTTTACATGAGACTTTTATAAATAAAATTACATATGTTTTGCTGCACATGTGAAGCATGCATGATAGATAAGTTAACAAAATCCTTACATGTTCTAATCAATCAACAGAAGCAATGAGATGAAATATATATAAGCAATGCTCATATGTTTGTTTAAAATTTGTTTGTTGGTTTATTTTGTTTGAATAGATATATGAGAACTGATTTTTAATTTTTTTGACAAATTTTGCTAGTCGAATTGCTTGCTCTTTCCTCCTCCTCAATGTACAGTAACATTTTGGGGCGGAGAATGTTGAGTACTACTCCCTTTTTTTAGTTTTCTTCTACGGAGACCTTTATCAATATAATTGCATATGCTTTGTTTCACATTTGAAGTTTAGATGATAGATAAGTCAACAACATCTAAAGATTGCTATGGAAGCTATGAAATGAAATACATTTTAGCATTTGAATGTTAGGTACTAAACAAACAGTATAAGTCATTTCAATATTATTATTTTGTTTCTTTCAAAGTTTTATGTGTACTTACCATGCATATGCATTCGCTGAGGATATATGTCGGGGAGAGTGGGGGGGGGGGGGGGGGGTTCCATTCACATGGTTAGGGCTCATCTGTTGGAAAACAACTATCAAAGGGCTCATCTGATCATCGCTCCTCAATCTTAAATTGGTGAGGTTGTTTTTGTATAGATAATATCAGCCACCAGAGAACACATTCAAGTGCTTATTCAATTTGGAAAAATAGTGATTTTGGATAAAGTTTTCTTTGGTTAAGAGATCTCATTGAGCTCTAATTATTGTCTCGAAGACCCAATTTTGATAACGCGATAAAAACAAAAAAATTGGTTATGAGTATCTTATCTAACATGTAATATGAGGGTTCACATTAGTGCATGGATATGCAAAAAAGTACAAAAAAAATTCTGAAAGAAACAGATGAACAATGCTGATATATATTTTATTTCATTGCTTCTACTGATTGATCATGGAATATAAAAATGTTGCTAACTTATCTATTTTGTAAACTTCAAATGTACAGCAAAACAAATGCAATTTTTTTAAAAAAATTCACATCATAAGAAAACTATAAAAGGAAGCGGTGCTCATAATTCTCCCCTCAAAATGTTACTCCACACTAATGAGGAGGCAAGAACAAGCAATTCAGCCAACAAAATTTATCAAAAAAAAAAAAACTAAAAACCAAAGCTCATGTATTTTTTATAAGGATATGCTAAGGTGGAGTGGATGTTGTTAACTTATCAGAAATGATTCTCTAGATTTATATAATCTTATTACTACAGATGTTTTGTGGACCCATTGGTTACTTAGTTTTTGTTTACAGTGATGTCTTTGGAATGTGATTTGATGGGCACATTTCACATTTCTTGAGAAATATTTAGTAGAGCAATGATGGAAAGAATAAAACAAAAGGCTCAACCAATTACCAATAATGAATATGAAAATAAAATGACCATTCTAATTTGACAAGGATATTGATTGGTCTTTATGTCTGGATAACACAATTGGTGTTCTTGTATGGAGCTATTTTTGATATTTATGAAATAATTCTGAGCTCTAATTTTTCTTTTTATTTGTCATATTCTTATTTCATATTCATGTATTTTTGTTTTACAAGCCAAATTATGTTGATGCATTTCTTTTTTTAACTTGGATATCAGATGTTTAAATAAAATGAAGGTGAGATACCTGCTATTTGGGATAAGGAGATGAAGA